TTCCTCTGCCGGCTCTCGAGGAGAATCCCTCCCTGGCCCTTCCAGCGGTCCTCGGTGTCCTTGGCTCGTAGACGCATCACTCCAGTCTCTGCCTCTGTGGTCGCGCCGCCGTCTTCACCCCATCTTCCCTCTGTGCATGTCTGCCCCTCTGTCCACCTGTCCTCATTTTGCAAGGACACCAGTCGTGTTGGATCAGGACCCACCCGGATGACCTCACCTGGGCTCCATCTGCAAAGACTCCTGTCTCCAAGTGCAGTCACCTTCACAGTTGCCTGGGGGTAGGGCTTCAGCATGTCATTTCTCTGGGGGATACAACTCAACCCAAAGCAGCTCTGCGTTTTGGCTGAAAAGCTGCGAAGGCTGGGAGTTGCAAGCCAAGGACAGGACCCGGAGCAGGCTTTGGAGGGTGAGAGGCAGCCTCTGGCGGGTGCTGGCAACACGCTTGCTGCTGGCCACTCGCTGCCCCACCAGAGGCTGGATGCTGCAATCACAGGCCTCGTTTCTTAAGCAGAATGAGATACACATGACAAGTATGAACCACTTATAAAAATCAGACAGGATTAAGAGTTTTCAGAGACTCAGTCATTGGTTTATGTGTAGTGGTTCCCCACATAAAAAGCTCTTGCTTTTTATTATGAACATTGCAAACACTAGCTAGAGCAGAGTGAAGGTCACCCCCCCACATGGTCACTGGCCTGCTGCCCTAACTTTGCTGTGTCTGGCTTTGTAGGCAAGTTGTCACGTGAATGCCAGCTTTCTTGTCATTTGTAACGTTGGGCCCATTACACAGTCCACTGTGCTTTGAGGGCAGGAGGAGAAGGGGGCGACAGAGGATGAGGTGGGTGGATGGCATCATCGACTCGGTGGACATGAGTTTGAGCAAGCTTTGGGAGACAGTGAAGGAGAGGGGAGCCTGGCGTGCTGCAGTCCATGGGGTCGCAAAGAGTCGGACACGACTGAGCGACTGAGCAGCAACCCCATGGTCCCCATGAGCCTAGGTTTTCATGTACAGAATTGAGACGGCTCCTGGAGACGCCCCACAGCAAAGGCAGTCAGAGTGTCCCACACAGCCGCTGGCAGACACTCAGCTTCGATGATAATAAATGTCTCTATGATTTCTGAATGTGCCCGAAGCCTACCCCGGGGCCCAGACCCACAGCTGCTCTCAGTAAAGCCTAAGGAGGCCACCAGAGCGGGACCCCAACCTGCCAGTCAGGAGACCTCGGGGGGCGGGGCATCTTTCCACGAGCATTTCCCCATAGTTGTTATATGAATTTAAATGTTAACAAAAATAAATATTTAGTGCTTTTTAAGGAAAGCCTCTGGTAAGAAATGACTGAGGAGTAGAAGAGAAAAAAAAACAGTAAAGTGGTGAGACACAGGACCAGAGCCCCAGGGTTGCTCCTCAGCCTCAGTGCCCCAGGCCGACTCCGTGGGGCTGGGGGTGGGCCTGGGACTCTGCATTGCTCACCAGCCCTGTTGAGAGCTGCCCCGCCCCCCCAACATCTGGAGGAAAAAGAGCGTGGGGCACACGGGGTCCCCTAGCCCAAGCCTGTCCCTCTGCCCATTCTTGTAAATCCTGTGAGCTGAGAATGGGTTTTATGTATCATAATGGTTAGAAGTCAAAAGAAGAACATTTGTGAGACATAAAAAATTACAACCTAGACAGCAGATTAAAAAGCAGAGACATTACTTTGCCAACAAAGGTCTGTCTAGTCAAAGCTATGGTTTTTCCAGTAATCATGGCTGAATGTGAGAGTTGGACCATAAAGAAAGCTGAGCCCCAAAGAATTGATGCTTTTGAACTGTGTGGTGTTGGAGAAGACTCTTGAGAGTCGCTTGGACTGCAAGGAGATCCAACCAGTCCATCCTAAAGGAAATCAGTCCTGAATATTCATTGGAAGGACTGATGCTGAAGCTGAAACCCCAATACTTTGGCCACCTGATGCAAAGAACTGACTCATTGGAAAAGACCCTGATGCTGGGAAAGATTGAAGGCAGGAGAAGGGGATGACAGAGGATGGGATGGTTGGATGGCATCACCAACGTGATGGACATGAGTTTGAGTAAACTCTGGGAGTTGGTGATGGACAGGGAGGCCTGGTGTGCTGCAGTCCATGGGGTTGCAAAGAGTCGGACAAGACTGAGCAACTGAACTGAAAAATTACAAGAAATTCAAATGTCAACGTCCATTATGAGAACACAGACACACCCACTCTTTAACACCATGGCTGCAGTCACAAGTGCACAGTTGAGCAGGTGGGACAGAGAAGGTACAGAGCCTGGAATACTGGCCGTTTGGACTTGACAGATAGGGCGTGTCGATGCCAAGGTTGGTGGTTCCCAGTGCCGCCAGCAGGGGGAAGCAGAAAGCCGTGTGTGTGGGCCCAGCCTCCTGGGGCTCAGGAAGGGTATTTAGGAATGTGATAGGGAGACCAAGCTGAGGTTTAGGAGGGAGGTACAGGCCTCGGGTAGAAAGGCAATTAGCGAGGGGAGTGAGTGGAGAACGCCCAGGGTAAGTAGGGCAATGGGGCACCCTCCTTGAGGGCTGGTGGGAGAGTGGGCCCCCAGGGTGGAGGCCCAGGTGTGGGCGGTAGGGAGCCACTGGAGGGCTGCAGGTGGTGGGGAGAAGGAGCATTGTTTTTGGGGGGGGGGGCTGTCACCTGATGGCCGTGCCTCTGGGCAGCAGTCCCAGCAGTCCAGGACTGGGAGGACGAGGGGCCAGCAGCCCCTGAGCTGTGACCAGTGCCCCCGCGCCCCCCACCCAGGGCTCAGAACTGCCCCTCCCTCGGAGTCTGCGCTCTGGCCCAGGACAGCCTGGATGAGCAGTGTCTCTGTCTAATCTCCCTCTTTCCCCTGTTCTTCTCTGCTTTCGCAGCGACTGGGCTCTCGGTGCACTTGGGGTGGCGCCTTTAGATTCCAGCCTGTCTTCTTCCCCGAGGCTCCTGCAGATGTGAGGCCTTTTTTATTTTTAAAGGGTTCTTTTGTAGTCAGACAGGGACGAGGCTCACAGACTCCTGTTAGAGTCTGGTGAGCACCACGGTGGATGAACCCCCCCAAAAAATGCACACGGGCAGGTGGACTCACAATTTGAAATATGATTTCAGAGCTCATCCATTACCTGAGCCCCCCAAGTTAGGACCCCTGACTGGCAATGGGCATAGTCCCTGTAGCTGACACAGTAAAGAATCTGCCTGCAATGCAGAAGACCTGTGTTCGATCCCTGGGTTGGGAAGATACTCTGGAGAAGGGAATGGCTACCCACTCCAGTATTCTTGCCTGGAGAATACCATGGACTTGGGGGAGGGGGCGATCAGCTCAGGGTCAGCTGGGGGGTTAGCCATCCCCAGCTTTAAGGTTTGGGGCTTAATATCAGTCACTCAAAGGCGGAGGACTGTAATTCCTGACTGTCTTACTACCCCGCCTCCGCCACCCTTCCTCCTGTCCTATGGAGATGATGGAATACTTAAGTCTTTCTTTGTGATGGATGATAGCCTTCTGAAGAAAAGTTATGACAAACCTAGACAGTGTATTAAAAAGCAGAAGCATCACTTTGCCGACAAAGGTCTGTCTAGTCAAAGCCATGATTTTTCCTGTAGTCATGTACAGATGTGAGAGTTGGACCATAAAGAAAGCTGAGCTCTGAAGAATTGATGCTGTTGAACTGTGGTGTTGGAGAAGACTCTTGAGAGTCCCTTGGACTGCAAGGAGATCCACCCAGTCCATCCTAAAGGAAATCAGTCCTGAATATTCTTTGGAAGGACTGAAGCTGAAGCTCCAATACTTTGGCCACCTGATGCAAAGAGCCAACTCATTGGAAAAGCCCCTGATGCTGGGAAAGGTTGAAGGTGGGAGGAGAACGGGATGACAGAGGATGAGATGGCTGGATGGCATCACCGACTAGATGGACATGAGTTTGAGCAAGCTCCAGGAGATAGTGAAGGACAGGGAAGCCTGGCGTGCTGCAGTCCACGGGGTTGCAGAGTCAGACGAGACTGACAGCAACAGCAAGAAAGCCTTCTGAACACACAGCACAGGAGCTACTCTGACCTCCTTGGACGGTGCATCTGGCAGTTCTCAGCTGTGTGCTGGGCGCTCTGGAGGCTTCTGGGGAACTTCCCTGAGAGAATTCACTTCTGGTCTCCAGGCTTGGCGAGTGGTGCTGACCTCACCCTGTGCACTGGGCTGGGAAACATTGTGTTCACAGGACTGTGGGCTTAGAGAGTTCTATTTTTGGGATCTTAATACAGCACATCATAAAATCCCCTTTCCTTGAAACAAAAAGAGTACTATATCAGATGGAGTCTTATTTAGGAAATTATTAGCCTCTATAACTAGAAATAAGTAGATTACATTTTTTAAAAGATTAATTCAATCTCTGTAACAAAGAATGTTTAAAGGAATATAGTCACTCCATTATGAAATGTTCGCAGAGGACAAATGGAAGCTTAGAAGCTTGAAGTGTTTTTCAAATGATCCAGAATTTAAAAATCTAATCCAGCATCAACTTTCAGTAAAAGCAATCGTTCCCAGCAAGTGTGGTCTCATACTGTGTGTGGGTGTATGTGTGTGTGGAACAGCAGCTTTAGGTGGAATATAACTTAGGTAACACAAAATTCACCTGTTTACATGTACAGTTTTCATGATTTTTTCGGTAAAACATACAGAGTCCCAGGTGGCTCAGTGGTAAAGCATCTACCTGCCAATGCAGAAGTAGATGGAGACACAGGTTCGATCCCTGGGTCAGGAAGATACCCTGGAAGGGGAAATGGCAACCCACTCCAGTTTTCTTGCCTGAAAAACTCCATGGACAGAGGAGCCTGGGGTTGCAAAGAGTCAGATATAACTGAGCAACAGCACACACACCAAAATGGTCTCTTACTTTTTAATCACAAGATGCACTGTTAGGAAAATAATAATTTTAATGTATTATATACTGTATTTCCATCATCTGCGTTGTATTCTTACTAATAAGTGACCTCTACTGATATCGCTTCCAGGCAAGCACGAGACAGCCGGAGCAAAGCTCTTGCAATCTTATCAGAAGCTGAGGTGAGTGTTGTCAGAGGCCAGGCTGTCCTGGGCCCTGGGGGCTGGAGCACAGAGGAGTCACTGAAAGAACATATAGATCTCCTGACTTTCAGATGTCACTGCTTTGGAATGTAACTTTAAAAAAAAAAAAGATGATAAAAAGTGCCTGGAGAAGATTCAGAGATATTTCCACATTCTTATGAAAAGCTAGAAGGATCGAGCATAGGATTTTCTCACAAGACATTTTGTTTCTTGAATTTTCTTGATATGTTTTCAGGAAACGAAATGTTGTTTTTGATGGCATGTCCAGTGAGATTCAGGGCTTGCCAGGTGGCTCAGTGGTAGAGAGTCAGCCTGCCATTGCAGGAGACGAAAGAGACTCCAGTTCAATCCCTGAGTCAGGAAGATCCCCTGGAGGAGGAAATGGTAACCCACTCCAGTATTCTTGCCTGGAAAATTCCATGGACAGAGGAGCCTGGTGGGCTACAGTCCATGGGGTGGCAAAGAGTCAGACATGACAGAGCACATGCCCCAATGAGATTCTAAACCAAGCATTTGCTTTTATGAATCATTCATGTCCCCGACATCTTGCCCAGTGCCTGACACTTTAGAAACGAAATGTTCGTTTGTGGAACGAACATTGGTGGGTTTGAATAATGACCTGAGAGATAGTAACTTTATAAACAAAATTCTAAGCACCCAGTCATCATGAAGCGAGCAATAATTCACACACCGGACTATGCCGAATTTATTAAAGTATTCTTGAAAACTCTCCACCAGCAGCCTTTTTTGTTTTGTTTTGTTTATAGTGAGACTTGCCAATTTCCGGATTTTTCATTGTTTTACTCCATCTGTCTTCCCCCGCCAACTTCTTTTAGCATAAACTTAAGATTCCTCTTCTGTTCGGTTTTTACATCCGTGACATCTGGGGCATTCTGCTGGGTGCTGTCCACTAAGAGGATGCTCAGGTCCACGTGGCAGCCACGTGTGGAGTCCAGGTGCCAGGGCAGCCAGGCCACAGAGCCGGGCCCCGCACCCCAGCTGTCATGGGAACACACAGCTGGAGTGCAGTGCCTGGGTCTGGGACCACAGGAATGCGTCTCCCCGTTCAGACCCCAGAAATCGGCCCTGTGCGGAGCGGATCCAGGCAGGTTCCTGGACCCTCTTCTAAAAAATGGGGAAGCGTTTCTTCTTTTTTGCAGGAAGGCAGAACAACTTGAATTACAGGATAAATGTGAATGTTATACACGCGTAAGACTCACAACCCGTTTCTTATCCCTGTGTTTTCCCTCAGCAGCAAGATCTCCGTGGTGCCTCCCACCCCTCCGCCTCTCAGTGAAAGCCAGTGTAGCGGCAGCCCTGCCAGGGTAACGCGCCCGTCGGTTCCCGCTGGGTGGGGACGGGGAGGGATGCGGCCAGACACACGGCTGAGAGGCTGAGCCTCATGGCAGAGCGATCCAACCTCGGCTGCGGGGTCCCCAGGCCAGGAGGGAAGCGGGGCGCCCATAGGAGGCTAGAGATGCTGGGCTCCGCCTGGTGTCTGGGCTTCCATCACGCACTGTGGGGCCCTGGGGCCGCCCCCACCCCCCACGCCCCGCACTGTCGGCGGGCTCATCTTCCGCCTGCATCCCACATCCTTATCTCTTCGCTCCTGTTATTTTGTTGCTTCTGTCCCCTCACCATGCCCTTGGGTGTGGGGGTCTGGACGGGCTGCCGTGTGTGTCAGGGGCCTTTGGGAGTTGAAAAGGGAAATGTAGGTTGATTAACAGGTGTGTGACTCACAGATGGGGGAGTACGTGTGGAAATGTGCATGAGCATGTCATTGAGTGTGTGTAGGCGCTTAGCGTAAAGAAGACCAGGACTCTTCCCATCCAGAGCAGTTAGCTGTGTGATCCTGGGGGTCTTACCTGGGCTCCCACCTGGGAGGCAGCGATAATCATACTCGTCTGGCCTACCTCCCACGGCTGGTGTGAGAAATCACCCGAGTAATGTTTGTGCTGGTACTTGGAAACTGTAGAGTGCCATGGAAACACGTGGTCTTGATTATTTATTATTCTGCTTATTAAAGAGAGTAACTCCATCTGTACACAGGAGGATGTACATGTCTGCCGGTGAGAGAATTCTTTTTTCAGTTTCAAACTGAGACCCCAGAGTGACTTTCAAAATCCTGCTCTATTTTTCTCCTTGGGAGTGGCTTCCTTTACTCCTTGAGAGTAATTTATCTGAAGTTACTCGAGCACAGACGTGCTCAAAACATATAACTGGGATGGATGGACAGGTGGATGGATGGATGGATGGATGGGACTTGCAGAGGGAGTGGCCTCATTTCTGTTCTTTCTCTTGCTTTTTCCCTCTCTCTTCTGCACTGGGAGGTGGACCTGACCCCTGGCTCCGGTCTGCTCACCTTGTCTCTTCTGTCGCGTGCATTATGCCCACGTTGACATCCCCTCTGGGCAGAGCTGGGGTTGGGGATGTAAGAGAAGGAGGCTAGAGAAGCGAGAATGGGCTCACTGCAGTCTTTGAGCCCATGACGTATCCGTGCTTATTTCTACGAGGTAGTTGTTAGCTTGTGGACAACCACACAGTACTGCCCCTTCCTTTAAGGCAGGTGTCAAAACTCAGAGGAGAGACGCTGAAAAAAGAGGGCTCCTCCCTCCCTCCCGAGAGGCCCGTGCCCCAGACACACATGCGCACACCCCCATGGGCACCCCGAGAACCCACACACCCCTGCGCCCACGCATGCCAGAGTTTGGGGGTTAGTGGCCTGGAGCCTGCCGGGGCAAACACTGGTCATCAGACAGAAGTCTCATTCTCTCTCCTGTCTCTGCTTTAGTTGCAGGAACTCGGGCAGTTTAAAGGATTCAATAAGTCTGTGGAAAATTTGTTTCTGTCTGTCACCACCCACATGAAAAGTAAGTGGCTGCCTCTCTGGGGGTTCTGGCCTGTAGGCCAGGCATGCACACAGGCTCCTGGAGAAAGCCAGGACCCCTTCCCCGTTCCCTGTGTCTGCATCAGCAACAGCTCTGAAGGCCTGGAGTGTGCTGGGACCTTTCTTTCTGCCAGGAGCGCAGGAGGCCCCGAAGGTTCCAGCGGGTGGACTTGTCAGCGTCATGGACGGCACAGCTCAGGGAGGAGCGACCCTGACGTATCCTGGGGGAGAGGGGAGCCCCAGGGCTGGTGGGCGGGGCATGTGTGGGATCTCGTCTAGAGAACAGAGACAATGCGCAGACTGAGCCCTGCCCAGCACACGCAGGAGATACTAATAAACAGCGTGAGGGGCTGATCTCAAGAAAGAGGGGTGCTCTGAAGGGGCGCTGTCCAACATGATAGCCTCTGACCTCACGTGGCTCTTAAAATGTGGCCAGAGTAGAATGCACATCAGATTCAGGAGACTCGCTATTGACCAAAGAGTGATATTTTTCATTAATAATTTTAATACCGATAATATATTTTCACAATATATTAAATGAAAGTGAAGTCACTCAGTCGTGTCTGGCTCTTTGCGACCCCATGGGCTGTAGCCCACCAGGCTCCTCTCTCCATGGGATTTTCCCAGGCAGGATACTAGAGTGGGTTGCCATTTCCTTCTCCAGGGGATCTTCCCAACCCAGGGATTGAACCCGGGTCTCCCGCAGTGTAGACAGACGCTTTACCGTCTGAGCCACCAGGGAATTCCTAGTATATTGGATATGTTGCATTAAATGAAATATAGTTTTACAATTAACTCTGCCTGGGTCTTGTTGTCTTTTAAAATGTGGCCACTAGAAAATTTGAAATGACATATGTGAACTGTATTATATCTGTGTTGAGTGGTTTCAAGGTCCATGTTAGAGTGACAAGGCTCTCCTGGGAAAAGGAAGCCTTTTAAAGGACACACTCACCTTTGAGGCACTTAACCGTGTGGGGCTCCTTCCTGCTTCCCTTACTCATCTTAATTCTGAACTACTTTATTGCAAAGAAATTTTTAAGTCATCTTTTCAGGATTTGCTTATGCAAATGGTTATAAGGATACCCCAAGGCTTATTTCTGCCCAAGAAGCGGAATTTAATTGTGAAATCTTTGTAAGGAGCCCCTAAAATCCCAGCGTGTTTGTTCAGCTTCCTTCCTTGTGTTTGGACAGCCAGACACGTGGGATGTATAATGGCCCAAATTTGGGGTGACCTGGTGGGGAGGCTGGCCTTGAACCCCCTTGACGGGAGCCCTGCCTGCAGAGACCTGGGGACACGTGGTCACCATTTAGGATCCAGCCCCCCATCCTGTGCCCAGGCCCCACGTCCAGTGGGGTGTCAGGGACTCTCCCCTGGGCCCCAGAGCTCGGGGTGCAGATATCCTGGAGAAAGGTCTCAGCAAAGCTCTGTGCTCCCACCTGTCTTCCTTGTATTTCTTTTCTAGAACTCTCCAAGTCCCAGAATGACATGACCTCTGACAAGCAACACCTGGAGACGGTCCCCAGGCAGCGTGAGGGCCGGCCGGAGAGGAGGAGCCTGTCCGACACGGCAATCAACGCCAGCACCAGGGTATCCCCGGCCACCCCACCGGCTGCCCCAACGCCTGTCCATCTTCTCTGTAGAGTTCTCTGTCCTTTTATTTCATAGGACATCAAGCTGTCTAAAAAGCACTTATACACCTCTCCATTGGATGGGGTGGGGGTGCTGGCCAAATGAAGGTTAAAATTCAGATGTATTGAGTTTGGAACATGGTTCAGAACAGGGAAAGGCTTCCATGTGACCCCCGTGGCCCCCTAAGGCTTCCAGGCCACGCCAAGCACAAAGGCTCAGCTGCAGTCTTGCCATGTGCCCACTTATTCGTGGTCTGTGGATACACTTGCTCAGGCCAGAGGCTGGCACATCCTGCTTCCAACAACTTCTGGTTAAAATCTGTCCTGATCTCTGAAACTGTTGAAACCGTAAACGCTGCACGTCCAGGTGCAGTCATGAGGGAGACTCTGCAGCTACCTCCACCGGAAGAGATCTCACCTGACCAAGGCCTGTAGGGAAAGAATTACTCTTCCCACCAGGATTAACTGAGCCAGAAGCAGATGCACTGGAGTGTGAGGGAAAGCGGACTTTAGGGTCAGGAAACCTGGGTTCTGGTCCAGCTGAGGTGACCTGGCTGTTTGCAGGGTGGGTGTGACAACTCCAGTTGGCTAGACAGGACAGGTGACCTTATCTCCAATACAAGCTCTGTTGAGGGTGTCCCCAGACAGACTGTTCTGTAGGCAAAGGGGTGAGGGTAACCCCACTCTTCAGCTGGGACTTCCACGCACTTCCACAAGATACTAAATTCTGCCTCCACCCACCAGGTCATCACGTGACCTCCTGAGCATCCAAAGCACACCCCCCCACCCCCAGGGAATGAAGATGATATTACCTGTTCCTCCCAGATCAGCACAGTGTTCTTGCAAAGATCCCCTGAGATAACTTAGGTAGCAGTTTAGAGTCTCTGTTATCTAAATGTAAATCTAGATTGCTCCTATGTGTTACTCTGTGCCAGGCTTTTGCTAAAAGCTTTACCTTTTATCCTCATACCACCCTTAGGTGGGTATTCATGTGACCCTGTTTATGTTTATGGACACTTAGGGAGATTGTCACAGACCCCTGGCAACAGAACCAGAAATGCGGGGGCGGGGGGGGGTGCGGTCTTCAGTCTTGGTTTGGAGGCTGAATGCTGATTTTCCACTTTAACGTGTATGCAAGTCACTTGGGGGTCTTGTTGAAATGCAGATTCAGAGTCACTAGATCTGCCAGTGGGCGTGAGATGCAGGATCTCAGGTGTGTTTCTGAAGCGCTCGGGGACCAGCAGGTGGTCTGCCGCCTCACTGTAAGGTCAAGCCATGGAGAGTGCGTGACGTGTATTTGGAAGGTCTTTGAGACTCTGAAGTGCAGACAAGTGTGTGTTCCTTTCAGCTCCTCAGCGCCCACATGAACACCGTCCTAACTAACGTTCCTGAATCAAGAGGTGGAGGAGAGGGTCAGCATGTGTTTAGGTGACACTGTGTTCTGGGCGTGATGGAGAATGCCCAGAATGTGATGGAGCATGTGTTACTTATTAGGTTGGTCAAAAAGTTCATTTGGATTTTTCCGTAAGGTCTTATGGACAAATCTGAATGAAGTTTTTGGCAAACCCAATACTTGATCACATTTCATTCTTACAAAATTCCCGGAAAGATTTTGCTGCTCCCATGATAAATATCTAGAACCTGAGTTTTAGTGCAAGGTTAACCACCTTGTCTCATAGCCATGGCTCATGAAAGGTGGAGCCAGGAATACATCCCAGGTTCATCCGATTCTTAACTTCTACATTCTTAACCTCTTCATCATATGCTCCACCTAAGGAGGACAAATGAACTTTTTAAGTCCTTAAACAACCCCTGTGAAGCCTGGGCTGTTACTGTCCCATTAAAGATGAGGACTCGGGGGCCAAGGGATGGCCTGGGGGGTAACGCGGTCAGAGTGGCAGGACTGGGTGGAGGCTGCCCCCGAGAGCGTTCCTGTGATTCCTGCCAGGAGATTCCAGCAAGGTTTGCAGACCTGCATGGTTCCCGCTTCTGATGTCACATACCAGGTGCTGGGGCATCCCAAGTATCCGTAGGCTTCGCTCCTGACCTTCTGAAGTGATGCATTGTGACATCACCCTCCCCGGCTGCTCATGCCGTGGGGGGCACCTGCCAGCCGACAGCAAGGTTGTCTGAAGGGCCGGCGGTGCCCAAGGGTAGAAGCCAGGAGAATGGGTGGAGGGGTGTGGCCTGAGAGCCACCAACGGGTAGACCTTTTGTCTCCGGTGTGTCCTCTTCACTGCCACACTCTTGGCAGGACACGCTCAGGACTTTCTGTAGGCATTCTGTCTCCCCACATTGCTTGAGGTTGTGGCTGTTTTAAAGAGAAATTGAGCCAAATTTTTATAAAGTGCTCAGTAATTATGCATGATCTGTAAATGCTAAGTAATTACCAGGTCAGCATATAAAGAGCACATCTTTAAATAGGATGTTTGTCAGACTGCAATTATACACGCCTGAGTTGGTGAGCTCACGACAGTTCCACTTACACGTCCATTGGAATATGTGGAGCCTCTCGCCAGCAGTGAGGAGGCAACGCGTTGGGTGCCCTTTGTAAGTGAGGGATGCCAGCGCCCCTCTGCCGGGGGTGACACTGAGACACAGAAATAGGAAATCATTGTCTTAAAATGATGCTGGGATGAGAAGTCCCTGAGAAATCAGGTCAGGATTGCTTCCAAGTTGTGTCTCTGTCCTTTAAGTTTGAGCTGCAGAAATTCTCCGGCAAGTATCTGGGCCAGGATTCATCAAGAAGTGAATTTCTGCTGCTGAATTGCCTTCCTCCGGGGTTGACTCAGTCTGCACAACCCTAGGAGCAGCGTAGCTGTTTTCTAGCACTCCTGCAAACACTAAACTTTATACTTGTTATTTTAATAATTGCTCATTTAGTGTGTGAGTTGCTCAGTCGTGTCTGACTCTTTACAACCCCATAGGCTGTAGCCAACCAGGCTCCTCTGTCCAAGGGATTTTCCAGGCAAGAATTCTGGAGTGGGTTGCCACTTCCTCTGCCAAGGGATCTTCCCGACGCAGGGATCGAACCTGCATTTCCCGTATCTCCTGCATTGCAGGCAGATTCTTTACCCAGTGAGCCATACTGGAAGCTGATAGACAATTTTTAAAAATCTGCATTTCTTCAATTTCAGGTGAGCCTTGTCTTATAGTCTCCTTTTTGAACACCTTCGTTTCTGAAATCCTCCCCTTGGGTGTCTGGTTCCTCCAGCCCTCTGCCCACTCTTTAGTACCCCCAAGCCGCCTATTCTCTGGAGGACCTCACGCATCACTGGGCGTGCGTGATCTCATGACCAGGTTCTGCCTGGCCTCTTTGGTGCCTGCAGTTGCTCTGGCCTCTAGCAGGCGCCAGGAACATGCTCCACACCTGAGCATCGCGATAGCCCCTCATCCTGGGATACCCTAACTTTGGGTCTCTCCCCAGCCAGCCTTCAATACCCACTCAGGTCAGACTCCCACTGAAGACCACCCCAGGGGCCCCTCCTGCACTCACCCTCCTTCTCTGTCCCGTCACTTGGCTCATGCCTCCGTTTTAATGGTTTGTATCTCTGATGAGCTAGTGAGCCTTTGGGGGCTTCCCAGGTAGCTCAGCAGCAAGGAAACCACCTGCCAATGCAAGAGATGCAAGAGACTCGGGTTCGATCCCTAGCTTGGAAAGACCCCTCGGAGCAGGGAATGGCAACCCACTCTAGTCTTCTTGCCTGGAAAATGCCATGGACAGAGGAGCCTGGCGGGCTACAGTCCATGGGGTCACAGGGTTGGACATGACTGAGCACACACACCCATAGTTAAGTCCTTGGAGAACAGACAAAGCATCTTCTCGGCCTTTCCCTCCTCCTCTTGCCCGTAGGACTTAGAGTGGCACATTGAACACCGTGTTGCTTTAACAAATGTCTGATGGAATTGAGTTCTGGGAATTGAGAGCATGAACAGATGACTAGTCTTTCATCTCCTCTATACTAGTCTTAGCTTTTCATTCCTGAAAATTATGACCGTAGTGCAACTGTTTATATTTCCAAGTTGAACTTCCAACCCAGTGTCACAGTCTAAAGTCTCAATTTGGAAACTTTGTCTTTTCAACCAGGACGAGGCTTGCCCCTCCTTTCTGTGTACCATCACTGTCTGGTACAGTGATCCTCAGCCTTTCGGCCCCAGGGACGGACTGCACGGAAGAAAATTTTTCTGCAGACCAGGGTGGGGATCGGGGGTTGGGAATGGTTTCAGGATGATTCAAGCACATTATATTTACTTTGCTCTTTATTATTATTACGTCAGCTCCACCTCAGATCATCAGGCATTAGCTCCTGGAGGTTGGGGACCCCTGCAGACAGAACTTTCTAGCCAATGCTGCATATGGTTACTGAGCGCTGGAAATGTGTCTAGTGCAAACAAGAAGCTGAACTGATTTGATTCTAATTGATTGGAATTTAAATAGCCCATGTGACTAGTGGCTACCATATTTGAAAGCACAAGCTGCTTGTACACATTATAGAAGTCCCAACTCTAAAATATTTTTGTTTAATTTAGAGACATATTTTGATTTTTTTTCCTTTTTTAATGAGCATACCAGAAATGAAACTCCGCCTGTCAGGCTGAATACTATAATTCATGTGATTAAATGCTTGTGTCATTGTGAAGGTCAAATGCGGACTTCAGTTTCTTTAACACTTGTACTAATCCTTAGGTATTTCCCTGGTGGCTCAGATGGTAAAGAATCTGCCTGCAATGCGGGTTTGATCCTTGGGTGGGGAAGATCCCCTGGAGGAGGGAATGGCAACCCACTCCAGTATTATTGCCTGGAGAATCCCATGGACAGAGGAGCCTGGCGGACTACAGTCCATGGGGTCACAGAGTCAGATAAAACTAAGCAACTTTCATTCACTCAGTACTTTAGTAACCCACCCATAACTGTTTGTGAATGTCTCAAAGTTCTATGGTGTCTGCCTTGTAACCGTGTGTGTGTGTGTGTGTGTGTGTGAGTGTATTCATTTATCCACATGGAAGCATGCCCTTTTACTCAGCACTCAGAAGTTTACATATTAGTGACATGCAAGCCATGCTCATTGAAGTCATCACATTTGAACAAAACCAAACTGAGATGAAGACTACCCTATTAATTTTATGTTTGTTTTTTCAGAAGGTCAGCACACCAGATATTCTGAAACCTCTCAGTCCAGAGAGCCCCAGACGCCTTACGAGCCCTGTTTTGAAGCAAGAAGACATCTCATCCAGTCCAGTGCTCAACACTTTGTTCTCAGGAGGCTTGAGACAGGTGAGTCTCAGCTCATAATCCTTGACCCGTGCTGTGTGGTTGTCACGATGTCAAATGGGATTGGTCGGCAAGAGTATGAGTGATGTGTTGTCTTGTGGGATAAACTGGAGCACAGTGAAGTGCTGAGGTGACATTTTACTTAGATTGACAGCTGGAAAGAAAAGAAAAACCTTGCTAATCTTTGGTGGTTTTCTCTTTTACATCTTATTGTGAGCATATTCATACGGGCAGAGAGTAATTCATAGTAAGTCATGGTGTCTTAGGATGAGACGTGTTTAGTTTTGATGAAGTCTGATTCATCAGGTTTTTCTTGCGTGGTTACTTCTCTGTCTTTTTTAATCGACTGCTTTTTATTTTTGGTTGCGCTGGGTCTTGGTTGCTTCGTTGCTGGTTGCAGAGGGCGAGGGCTGCTCTTCTTTGCGGTGCAGGGGCCTCTCCTTGTGGTGGCCTTGGAGCGTGGAGTTGTTGTGGAGCGTGGACTCTAGGGTGTGTGGGCTTCTGGAGCTGTGGCGCAGGGGCTTAGATGTGTGCCCATGTGGGATCTTCCCAGACCAGGGATCGAACCTGTGTTCCCCACATTGGCAGGCAGATTCTTACCTCTCTACCACCAGGGAAGTCCTCTCTGTCTTATCCACCCACAAGTCATGCAGATATTCTGCCATGTTTTCTTCTAGAAGCTTTTATAAAAATTTAGCTTTTATGTGTGGTCCCTGCTCCAGCTCATTAATTTTTGTGAATGGTGAAAGGTGCAGGTTGACGTTCATTTTTTCCAACATATGAATACAGTTTATTCCAGTGCCGTTGGTTAGAAAAAGGACTCTGAGTTTTTCCATTGACTTTGGTGTCTTTGTTGAAAGGCAAAGGACCATGTCAGTGCAGACCTTCTCCTAGGTTCTCTGTTCCGCTCCACTGACCTGTTTGTCTTTGTGCCAAGGCCAGATTGACGTGATCACTGTAGCTTTGTAGGAAGTTGGGTGGTTTAAGTCCTCCAACTTTGCTCTTGAGATTGCCTTGTAGTGTTTTAAAGGTAGAGTCTTCATAGGCAGGCCTTTTTATTCATTCACTTGTTATTCAAAAACATTGCATGAATGTTGACTCTGTGTTTAAACCTGTGATATGTATTAGATATGTAAGATGGAGCCTTGGGTGAGGAGCGCTGAGACTTCAGTTAAAGCTCTTCAATGTATTCAGTGATCTCAAACAATCACTCAAGAGGGAGGGGACATACCTGTGCCTGAGGCTGATTCATGTTGATATATATGGCAGAAACCAACAAAATATTGTAAAGCAATTGTCCTCCAACAAAAAATCAGTTCAGTTTAGTCGCTCAGTCGTGTCCGACTCTTTGCAACCCCATGGACTGCCTTTTGTGACCCCATGGACTGCGGCATGCCAGGCTTCCCTATCCATCACTAACTCCCAGAGCTTGCTCAAACTCATGTCCATCGAGTCAGTGATGCCATCCAACCATCTCATCTTCTGTCATCTCCTTCTCCTGCCTTCAATCTTTCCCAGCACCAGGGTCTTTTCCGAGGAGTCAGTTCTTCGCATCAGGTGGCCAAAGTATTGAAGCTTCAGCTTCAGCATCAGTCCTTCCAATAAAAAAGAAGTTAATTTTAAAAAATAAACAATCACAAAAACTCCCTCAGCTTCAAAGTCCTCATCAAGGAGATGGTATCAGAATTGTTGTTCTTATTTCACTGGATTACTTTGGTAATCAAATGGATGCTCACCTTCCGTGGTGTAATACAGTGGTTAAGAACTCAGCTTCCAGAAACCAGCATCTTGGTTCACCTTCCAGCTCCTTTAGTGGCAAGGAGCATGTTCCAGAGCTAGTATTCTAACCACTGTGGTACTTTAGCCTTGGGGTGGTTGTATTTTTATGAGAAATAGTGTCCACATCAGAAAATGATAAACTTCCCCTATCTCCATGAATGTCCAGCAGAATATTCAGAAGTCACAGCAGAAGCAGGCTAGACCTTGAAGAATCCTTGATTCAATCCACAAAATGCTGGCAGTTCCCAACCCACCCTTTGTCTGCAACCACTGTCTCCTGTGGGTGGTCCCGCCTCCATCAAAACCACTGCTCTGTACCCTCACTACGCAAAATGTGGGGCACCAGGGTTACCTGGGAGCTTCTCAAAGATCAGAATCTCTAGCCTTGCCTCAGACCTACTGGAGTCTGAATCTGTCATTTAGAAAGAGCCCCAGCAGATTCAGGCTTCCCACGTGGCTCAGTGGTGAAGAATCCACCTGCAATGCAGGAGATGCAGGTTTCATCCCTGGGTGGTGAAGATGCCCTGGAGGAGGAATTGGCAACCCGCTCCAGTATTCTTGCCTGGAGAAATCCCATGGAGAGAGGAGCCTGGTGGGCTACAGTCCATGGGGTCAAAAAGAGTCAGACATGACTGAGCAGCACGTACCAGGAGATTCATGCACACATAAACACGCAAATTGAACCCTGTCAACTTCAAATCCCAGTGAAATACTTCGTATGTTAGGGATTCTTCAGCAGTCTAGGGATGTGCCGTTCAGTTCTTGCAGCCCCTGTTGGGGGACCCTCCCAACTCCTGCCCTGGGTAACCTCCTGCTACCGGCATGGCCCTCCTCTTCGTGGATGTCCTGAGCTCATGAGCGTTGGGGGTGGTCCTGCCAGAGCCTCTCGAGTTGCTGCTGTTGGGGGATGGGTGTTGCTTATACTGGAGAAGAGTTCGGAAAGGTGAAAACACTGAATGAACACTTCCCTGAGGGGGAGCTTAAGCAAGGGCGGCTCCAGAACATTCTCTCCTGGGGCTGAACCCCGTGGTGGGTACAGACAGGGGAGGCAGAGGAGCGGTCTCTGGGAGCTTTTCCAAGACCCATGGAAAGTTTGCCTCCACCCCGGCTAACGTACGGACTCCAGCCAGCTTGAGTTTTTTTTTTTCTTATTAATTAGTATTTATGACTGCATCAGGTCCCAGTTGCGGCATGTGGGATCTTTTGGTGCACTGGGAGCTCTTGTAGCTATGGCATGCGGCTTGTGGGAAACCAACTTCCTAACCAGGGATGGAGCCCGCATCCCCCGCACTGGAAGGCCGACTCCCGACCTCTGACCTCTGGGCCACCGGGGAAGTCCCCCAGCTTGAACCTTGATAAGGCTGATCCAGGAGGACGGGGCCAAACCCTGCTCCTAAGGGAGCCCAAACTCATCCAGGGGCCTCTCAACTTGACTCTTAAGCTCCTTCAAGGCCTGGAAACCAGCACAGAGGTAGACACACAGACTCGGATCCTCCCCACAGCGTTCCACGGGGCCCTCCGCGAGCTGCCCACCGCCCCACACCTGCCCCCTCGCTCAGTCCTCTCTGGGGCGCTGGTCCTTGAACAGCCGGACGCAGCCTGCCTCCCAGTTCCTTGGGCTGTTCCCTCTCTCAGGCTCCAGGCTCTCTCACTCCCTTCCCTCCCTTGCAGTCTTGGCTCCAAGGTCACCTTCTTAGGAGCTCTGCCCTCTGCCCTGCTCTGCCTCCCTGGCTCACCTGTTTTCTGTTTATCCACGTGCTTATCACCTTTTGCCCCTGCGTAATTGGCTTTACCTGTGGTTTATTGTCTATTGTCATTCCCAGGTGCCCCGGAGCAGTGCATGACACTTAATGGCACTCAGTAAATATTTGTGAGATGGTTGGATGCATTTTTATCAGAGCTATTATTGAAAGCCTACTGTGCGCTCAATGCAGAGCTGGGAACTCCATCTCCGGGTCATTCTCACCACAGTCTTGTCCTGGGGATGCGGTTGTCCCATTTCACAAATGGGAAAACTGAGGCTCTCGGAGGGTATGCCATTTGCTAAGGCTATATGGTCGCTGCAGAATTCTGACTGGGAGTTAAAAGTCCAGGCCTTCTGTCCTATCCCAGAGGAATTGTTGGCCTCTTAAACTGACTGCCACCCCCAGTTCAGCTTTGCTCACTTGGAGCTGGTCCACACCCCAAAGACCTTTCAGAGTGGGTGGGAGGTGAGGGGGGAAGGATGCTGGGGTAACAGGATGTGGTGAGTGTATGTGTTGTACTGGGACTGTTTCTTGGGAAAGTACCTCCGAATTACGGTGCAAATTCAACCTGATGCTCTTTTTGCGCTTTCTTCTAAAATCTTCTCTGATTTGTGCCCTCAACATGTACCATCACGAGATTGAATTATTAGACATGCAGTCTTAACCTGTTCCCCTTAGACTGAAGCAGTGTCTGTTTGAGGAAACTAAACTCCCACAAAGCCAAAAACAGTTCTGTTTCTTGCCCAAAGAAAAGTCGCCTCCCCTTCTGAGGGACATTTATATTCTCTGAGAAACAGGAAGTTGGGGCTAGAAAAAGCTTATTAAATCTCTGCTTATTACAAAAGTAAGAACACAAACGGACAATAAATAGAGGAAGCACTCAACTTCCTGAGCAGTTAAATAAGTGCAAAATTAGAACAAGTGCAGTTTGTGAACCATTTTAGCAGATTTAAGAAGTGACACAGCTCCGTGTTGGCGAGCGTGTGGAGAGGCAGGTGTTCTATAAACTGCTGGTGAAACTGGATGGAAGGCAGCCAGCAGTATATGTCATAGGCTTCAACATGCATGCTCGCTTTCACCCAGCTATTTTAGTTACAGGAACTGTTCTTTAGAAATCATCATGAACTTTGCCAAAAAGTATGTATATGTGGATGTTGAGGGCAGCATTGTTTATCTTAATAACTTTTATTAATTTTGAAAAGTTGGAATTAGCCAAAATGTCTAAAATAAGGCAGTGGTTAAATAAATTATGGTACATTTATTCAGAGGAATACCTTGCAACTATTAAAAGTAATGTGGTTGAAGGATATTGAAAAGAATATCGAAAATAGATATCGATCAACAAAAATATTAAGTTACAAAATAGTATTACAGTAGCACATAATTAGAAAAGCAAAGTGAATGTACTATAGACCCTGTGAAACAATTGAAAGGATTGTATCAAAAGGTTGCGAATAGTGGCCTTATGCTTTCTTCTTA